CCCTCCGTCTCCGCCTGCCGTCCGCGCCCTCGTCTGCTCTCTCCGTCTGCTCTCTCCGTCTGCTCTCTCCGTCTGCTCTCTCCGTCTGCTCTCTCCGTCTGCTCTCTCCGTCTGCTCTCTCCGTCTGCTCTCTCCGTCTGCTCTCTCCGTCTGCTCTCTCCGTCTGCTCTCTCCGTCTGCTCTCTCCGTCTGCTCTCTCCGTCTGCTCTCTCCGTCTGCTCCCTCGTCTGCTCTCTCCGTCTGCTCCCTCCGTCTGCTCCCCCGTCTGCTCTCGTCTCCTCCCGTCTGCTCACTCTGACTGCACTGTTTGGGCCCGAAACTCCAGCCGGTCATGAACACTCAAATGTTTAAATAGCTAAAATTGTACGACATCTTTTATTTTTTCCAAAATTACATTTTTATTTGATCTAAAATTTCAATTAATGTTTTTCACCAAATCCCATTTGATTTTATCCCAAGTTTTATTTAAATTTTTTTCCCAATTCCTTTTAATACTTTTCCAAATTCTGCTTTTCCATTTAAAAAATTTTTTTTTTTATCTATACAAAGACAGTATTAGAGCTCTATGAAATATGTGTCTATTTTAATTTGTCTAGTTCTGTTTTATGATTGAATGCAAATGTATTATGAAAGCAGCATTCGTGTAGCTCAAACAGTAGAGTGCTTGCAACATCAAGGTCATGGGTTCGATTCCCAGCGAATGCATGAATTAATTGAGTGTAAACCATCAATGCAATGTAAGGCACTTTGGATAAAAGCGCTTGCAAAATGCTTGAATGTAAATGTATCAAAAAACGGTGGTAGTCAAACACAAATGCATAAAGCTTTAATTAACCTTTTGAAATGTAATCAGATGGAAATTTAAACATTCCTTATATTTTAAGTGTTGCACAATAGAGATTTACAAAATTCTGTGATATTCATGAAAGGTTTTAGGAAACTGTATTATTATTATTATTAATATAATTTTAACCAACTTACACACACTAGTCCATATTACCATTTGATCAAGTGCACATCCCTAATTTTGATTTATTTATCCAACATTTGCCAGATTCATTCCGTGTTATACAATTAAATCCATCTTTATGACTGGATTCCATCCGTGTTTTCCACATGCCAAAAGTCATAGAGCCCTACGTGTCATTTGAAGAATAAAACAGCATCTGTTCATCACGCCCAAGATATTTTGGTGATTTTTTTTTTACATAGTTTGTTTTTCAGTTGTTTTCATGCTCCAAGTGCAAATCAGCTCTGACTCTTTAATGCTTCACCTGAGCTTTTACATCTTGCATAAGTGTTCATGAAGATTCTGACCCTGTCATGAACTCATTTGAGCTCCTCTAAAGTTTCATGAGAGACCATCTTGAAGCATCTCAGGAGATGCTGTGGAAATATTTAGTCTCTCTTTAGAATAGAGTGCTGATGTTCTTGTTCCTCTGGTGTTTTGTTCAGCGTTTAATGGCTGATGGTTATTTTTAGTCTTGGATCTTCAGTCTCATGCTCTGCTGTTGTTTATGGATCGGGGGTCAGACGAGGGTCTCATGGTTCAGTTCCTGTTATAGAACATCCCTCACTCTGTTTGTCCTTCTTTTCATCGGTTTTCTTTCTCATCATTCAGACACACACACACACGCACACACACTAATGTTCTTTCCACTGGCGTGTTGCCCAGATTTTGTTATTGGTTTCCCTGCCGCCCATGTATGTCACTGAATGATGCTGAGCTAAAAATACATCACGCTTCATCCAGAATTCAACCTAAACGAGACTTCAGGACGTCAGGGGAAGAATGTGTGTGTGTGTGTGTGTGTGAGAGGGAGTGTGGAATGTGTATGTGTGTGTGTGCGCAAGTGTGTTAGCATGTCAGTGTGTGAGTGTGTTTATGTGCATATGATTGTGCAAGTTTGTGTGTGAGGGTGCAAGAGTGTCAGAGTGTGTGTTAGTGTGGGAATGTTGGTGTGTGTGTGTGTGTGTGTGTGTGTGCAAGTGTTCTTGTGCTCGAATGTGTTTGTGAGTGTGCGAGTGTGAGTGTGTGTCCACGAGGGTTCGTGTTAGTGTATGATTGTGCAAGTGTGTGATTGTGCATGAGTATGATTGTGTACGAGTGTGATTTTGCGAGTGTGTGCGTGCGCGTTTGAGTGTGTCATTGTGCATGTGTGAGTGTGTGTCCACGAGGGTTCGTGTTAGTGTATGATTGTGCGAGTGTAAGTGTGTGATTGTGCAAGAGTGTGATTTTGCGAGTGTAAGTGTGTGATTGTGTGATTTTGCGAGTGTAAGTGTGTGATTGTGCAAGAGTGTGATTGTGTGATTTTGCGAGTGTAAGTGTGTGATTGTGTACGAGTGTGATTGTGTGATTTTGCAAGTGTAAGTGTGTGATTGTGCAAGAGTGTGATTGTGTGATTGTGCAAGAGTGTGATTGTGTGATTGTGCAAGAGTGTGATTGTGTGATTGTGCAAGAGTGTGATTGTGTGATTGTGCAAGAGTGTGATTGTGTGATTGTGCAAGAGTGTGATTGTGTGATTGTGCAAGAGTGTGATTGTGTGATTGTGCAAGAGTGTGATTGTGTGATTGTGCAAGAGTGTGATTGTGTGATTGTGCAAGAGTGTGATTGTGTGATTGTGCAAGAGTGTGATTGTGTGATTGTGCAAGAGTGTGATTGTGTGATTGTGCAAGAGTGTGATTTTGCGAGTGTAAGTGTGTGATTGTG